ATGGCTTTTCCGAATGGTATGTTAAGCTTCGCCCATGGGCAAGGTCAAAGGACGAACGGTGGGCGTGGCCCCTCATGTCCGGTGCATACCGGCATATGTGCGTGCGAGCATATTGTCAGGTTAATCACTCGTTTTGTTGGCAATTACGGTTATGACCCCAACGAGAGAACAACAATAAAGGCAGCGGCGAGGAGGGGGTATTAGGGGTGAAACGGAGACGGAGACGGAGACTTCAAGCCACTTGACCTTTTGTTGTTGCCAGCGAATATCAATGAGTCCATTATGTATGAATGTCAATGATTATGGCCGCCTGACATGACACGGCCATTGGGGGAGGGTGGGAAATTCCGTCAAGTGACGAAGCCCCGAAAGAGACGGCGCCTCGATAAGGGAGCCCCCAAAATGACAGTTGACAGCGTTTGGCATTTTGGCACCCTCCTGCTTTCCGTCTCCCCTCTCCGACCTCTCTTTCCATCCACCCCCCAAAAAGGACGCAGGACCCAGGTCGGATGGAGACGATGCCCGTTGACAATAACAGCATCAATTTGCAGTCACCTGGGCGGACCATTTCCCCCTGGGAAAACCTCGCGGAGGGGTGGGAAATTCCATGGACTGTTGGGAGGGAGGGGAGCCTGGTAAGTGCTCCTGGCCCACATCATAAAATTTTAGCAGCACGCACTGGCGACGTATCAATGTCAGGCTGCCAGATTCCCTTTTCTATGCACAGTGGAGCAAAAGTAAAAAGGAAATGAATCAGAAATAAATAAAAGGAATATTATATTGATTTATAGAAAAATCTGTCACATAATTAAAAAACTATAAGGACTGCAACTCAGTTAAAATTGTGATTCAAGAATATTTAAAGTAAAACAAACTAGCTAGCAAAACTAACTAGATATAAGGATAGTAATAGATAGCTTTTAATAATTATAAACTGAATATAATATAATATATATAAATACAAAATAAACTAATGAATACTAAAATATAAATGAAACAAAAATTTAGTTACATAATAATTACAATAAAATATAAAATGCTTTAGTATTAAAAATATTAATTATTTTAATAAGTACTATTATTTGAGTAAACTTTTTGAATAGACCTATAAATATATGGTCATTTCTTCAATAGTACAATAACAAATAAATTAATACAAATAATTTAAAAAGAATGTTTAAAATTTTTCTAAAGTTCAAGATTTTGTATATTGATTATTTGCTTTGATACTTTGTACATTAATGATAAATTGGTATTTACTTTTTAAATATTTATTCTTATGTTTTATTTATATATATATATATTCATTATAATGTATTCATTAATATAATTATTCAGATATTATGTATTTGTAAAAGATTTATTTGTTTGCTTATTTATTTAATTATTTACTTATTTATTTAGTTACTCATCTTATAATTATACAGATATTATGTATTTGTAAACAATTTATTTGTTTGCTTATTTAATTATTTATTAACTTAATTATTTAGTTACTCTTCTTTGAATTTCGAAATTTGCATACTTATTATTCATTCGTTCATTCACTTTTCTATTTATTTATTTCGTTAGACGGTTATTTAGTTATTTATTTATATATGTATTTATTAATTTATTTTTTAATCTATTCATCCTTTTATTTATTTCTTTAATTTATCTTTCAAAAACTTATTTATTTATTCCATGAAAAACGTATTCAATTGTTTAATTTAGAAATTCTGAGCAATTTTAAACACCTTCCCCTATTTTTTGGTTCCACTGTGCCTCCTCTTTTCAACCTTGTTATTTGTGAACATCACCTGACGAGGGGTTACTGTACAGGGGATCCACTTCAGACGGTTTTCTCGCATTTTGTTATGATTAATGTTATGATTGTTGCTGTTTCTGTGCGTTGTTCTTGTTGCGTCTGAAATGCTTTTGTGTGCTTGGCTGTGAGTTGAAAAATGTGTAGGCCGCTTTTAGGGTCACATATATGAGTCCCACATATACAGGCACATCTACACCCACACCCCAAACACACACACACACAGACACACAACAGGTGTCTTGGGCGAAATGTTATCAATGCCAAATTAAGCGTAAAATGCTGTCGCACTTTAAAAGGCAAATTAGACCCAAAGTCGAAGGCAGAGCGGGCAAATGAGGCGTAAATAATGCACATGTGTGGCTCTTTTGGCAGTTTGGCACAATTACACTAGTCAACAAAAATTAGGAGTTCATTTAGGAAAGTCTAGATATTTATTGAAAGAAAAATCAAAGGGATATAGAATTATTTGTGAGCTAAGCATTGTAAATTATAATATTAAAAATGAAATTAGAAATTTTATATATACTTCTATAGTTTTAAAAAATTGTGCTGAAATGAAAGCATAAACCTAAGATTTTATTTAATTATTTAGTCAGGACTTTTAGCTATTTAATTGGAATAATTTTGTTAATAAATCTTTAAAATATTATGATTATATATATTATATTTAATATAAATATTATTTCTAATGTTTGCTAGTGTTATTATGTCTGGCCGGGATCATTTATTAGCCAAGTTTTTGTACGCTTCAACTCACAGCTCACACTCGCTACCCGCTACCCTTCTCGCCCCCGCTCTCATCGATGAGGCGTAAAAGAATTATGCACCCCGCTCTCTTTCCATTTCCGCTTCCGGCGGCCATTGTTGCCGTGCCATTGTTCCAGCCATTGGGAACAATTAAGCGAGAGCTTAGAACTCAACTGGAAACTGAGGACTCTGGGCCAGCAAACTGCCAACTGCCAATTGCAGCTGCCATTCAATAAAATTTAAACGTCAAAGCGGCATCGGGCCAATTATTTGTGACCGCACTGGACCCAAAACAGAGACAAAAAAAAAAGAAAAAAGAAGAAATCTCGGGAAAATTGTGCAAAAAAACAACAATAAAAGAGCCAAGGAAAGAAAGAAAGAAAGAAAGAAAGAAAGAAGCGTCCTGGCGGGCCTTTGTCTCAGTGAATCCTTTGTTTCAGCCAAATGACGGTTTAGAGGCGTAGCGGGGCAATAAGGATCAAAAAAAAGGAGGAACAGGAGCAGGAGCAGGAGCAGAAAAATTGGTTGGCAGTCGACGGAGCTGGCGGGGCATTGTGCAAATTAAAACTGCACTTGATTATTTCTCCTGCTAATTTTCATTGTTCAAACCAAAAAAAAAAAAAGGAAAGAAAACTGAGAAAAATAGCAGAAAATGAAAAAGGTTGAGGGAAGATTCTAACAAGGAAAAGAAACTAGTAAGGAGAACATTTACTTGATTGGTTATAAATTTAAAAAGGTTTAATAATTTTAAATAATTAATTAGTTTAGATAAATGTAAAAGCTGTCAGAGGAGAATAAATATATGAAAAGTAAGTGTCAAAAAATATGAGTGAGTGATCATGACAAACTTAAGACTTTTTATATTTTCCATTCAAAAGAAAGAAAGATTTATTTAATATTTTTTTGTTTTATATTTTCTTCCCCAAGTTGCAATGTTTTTTGTGAAATAAAAGTGTAACATCATTCTTGGGACAGCAGTGGCTTTTCATTAGCGAGTCAAGGCGTGGCAACTTAAGCGATTTGGGGACTCGTCTTGAAGGGTTGTTTTCTCTTTCAATTCTGGCCACAAATTGAAAGCAAAATGCCAACGATGGGGCTGATGATGATGACCAGCACAACAGCAGCCACCAGGACTTTTGGCAACAATGAAACAAAGGACACCAAAAAGGGTGATGGGAACTTTGGGAAGGAAGTGCGGAAGGAAGGAAGATCGAAAGACAGCAGAAACAGATTGAAATCAGTTTGAAAACAAGCGAAGCGGAAAAATGCATGACCCGTTGAGGCCAAAAAACCGGATGAGAGAGGACAAAAAGGGGGAGGAGGAATGCTGCAGCATCCAGCAGCAGTTGGCCATGGTTAAGTGCTGGAAATTATGTTATGCTTCTCGTTCTCCTCGCTTGCCGTCCTCCTGTGCCATTGTTTTATGTCTCCATTCGAGGATTATTGGTCATGCATGAGAAGTCATCGCCACCACCACACACACACCACCCACTCGGCTCTCGCTGATTAACTCAATGAATAAACCATAAAGCCCGGGACGAGGCAAAAGTTGTTGGCCAACAATTCAATTGCTGCTGCCAACGTTGAGAGGACAATATTTTCGTAGCTCCAAATCGGTGAGGTAAAAGTTGGGGAAAATTTTAAAAAAGTCTACGAAACCGAAGGGAAAGTATTACGTTCTAGGGTTTTACATATTTACTAGTTAAAAAAAACATACACACCTCCTTCGAAATGTACATAATTCTACCATTCAGAATCAATGTGGAACAGTTTGGCAATCATATTTCCATCTGGTATTTTTTTGAAGCCTGTCGAAGAGATTTTCCAACACACACACACATACACAGCTATATGGTAGGAAAATCTCAACTAAGACCAAACAACAAGAACAAAAACTGACTGGGAATAACAAACAAAAGCAACAACAATGCAAAAAAAAAAATAACTAAAGAAAAAGTATAATTTCCATTTCAAATTGAATTTTCATTTGCACAAAAGCACCAAACCACCAACACCAACAGAATTCAGAGAGGAAAAAGTAGACAAGATATATATGTATATATATAGAAGGATATAGTATATATATCCGGTAGCAGCTTACCATACATAGATAAGGAGCAGAAGCTGGCTAAATATTGGGCAAAAGCGAAAATCAATGTCCTGACGCGGCCAGTTTAATGTTTTCGGGATTACAGCCTGCCACCTCCCCCCCCCCCAAAATTTCCTATTTTCCTCCCCAAACACACACACACACGCACACATACATATGTACATATATGCTCCGACGTGCAGCAACTTAATTTAGCATTAACACACACAGATACAGTCGGGGGGGAAAATGGCGAAGCTTTCATGTTCTTCAGCTTGTTGTATTTGTTGTTATTATTGCTGCTACTGTTGGCCATTGCACAGGAGCAAATACAAGTCCCCCTCTTCCTCATCTCACCCTCCCTCCCTGTTAGCCAGAAGATCCTATTTACCCCCTTCTCGCGCTCTCCTGCCATGTTTCTGATAGCTACGTGCCACATTACGTAGCCGACTGGTGGGCCAGTTGAAAAGCAAGCAAAAAAAAATTAAATAAAAATACACCTAAAGCGCAGGTAAGCTGCTCTAAAAGAATCAACTATTTTTTATAGATTTTGTGTTTTATTTTTAAAAGAAAGCGGTGTGAGTGTCATAACTTCTAGGAATCTGGAAAATGATGCTCTTTGGATGCTTAATTTGAGAGCAAAAGATGTGCTTAGAAAAGGCTCTAAAATAGGACTGAGAATTATTAAAAAAAATTTAAAATATGTGGAAAATTTGACAAAAAAAGGAGAAAAGTTAAATTGAAAGTAGCTTAAAAATTAAATGTTATAAGGTGACTGTTGGAGATTGACTTTGCAAGTCTTTAAAAATTAAATGAGTACTTTTGACTATAAAGGTTTTGTATTAAAAAAAAAATACAACATTCAAATAAAAACTAGTTAAGAATTAAAATAAGGTTAAATAATGTGTATTTTAGAAGGAGCTTTAAAGTCTTTATAGCTCTACCAATAATGACTTAAAATCTAAACCAAAAAGAGCATCTAAAACCAATAGATGTCTTTCCTGAAGTTGCTCAAAATTCCTCTAAAATCTACTATAAAAAATAACCAAAAGAAGAGACCTACTAAAGGGTATGACTACCAGTTTAGTAACCTTAACTAGTTTTTATGATCTCCCATCGCCATACACTCATGTAAAGCACTGTAGGGGCACTGAACTCGAACTCTAAAATTTTTCCTGCTGCCAGCCTGAATTTTTGTTCTTGAGTTGTTTTTTGTTGGAATTTTTTGTTTATTTCCGACACGAACCGACAGCGGCAGCTGTGCGACCCAGCCAAAAATAATTCCCCAAAAATTGTTCTTTCAATTTCGCGTTTACAATTTGATTTTTGTTTTAAGGATTTGGGGAAGGGAATTACTTAAGCCATTTCACTGAGTGCAAATTAATTTATTAGGCCTGTGGAAAGAGTACCCAGTCTTTTTTTACTCCAGGTGCATTCTTTTGATTTTCCACACGTGCCGGTGGGAGGGGGGGGGGTGGAAAAGCCGAGGGGGGTGCCACCTCAGCTCAGGTGCAAGCTGCAAGCTGCAGGTGCAACTGTCCCAACGCTCACGGCTGATTTATCGTCCATGAAATTTATGTTTAGTTTAATCGAATGGGGCAAACAAAAATTGTGCAGAAAAAGAGAGCGGGGCAGAGAGAGGGGTGAAACGACGGCCTGCTTATCGCTGGCCAGTCGGAGGAAAATCCCTAGTTTTTCCCCACCACCCCCAGCTTTTCCGCAGCAAAAAGTTTACTTAAGCACAGGAGGCGCTGCAAAATTAAGCAGCAGCAGGAACCACTCAAAGTGAGGGGATTTTTCGGACCGATTTTCCAGGGGCACTTTTCACGGGGGGTGGGGGGGGGGGGGGTAGGTGGTAGTCTGCCTGTTTTATTTTCCCAAGCCCCCCTCTCTTCACCCACTGCCACTTCTCCTGGAGCGTTTACTACTGCTGCAACTCGCAGACGCAACTATTGCAAAATTTCAACGTGAATTTATTGCATGAACATTTCTTTTTCCCAGCCTTTTGCATTTTTTTCGCCTTCCTCATCTTCGTGATATTTTCGTTTTTTTCCCCCCATATATATATATATTTCCCATGTTTTTATTATTATATTTTTTTTTATTTTTCATGCAGTGGGGCTCTTCCTCTTCTAGTTTTCGTGCCTTTTCCGACGTGTTCTCAGCTCAACGCTGAAATTTTCCTGCGGCCGCTGGCTATATATTTGTCTATATAATGTAGAAAATACCAAAGCATATATATATTTATATATGCCTCGATATGGTATATGTGTCTGTGGTTTCTATATAAAACTTAGATATAGAAAGTCGGGAGATAGTAAATATTTATCACAGTGTTGGTGGTGGAAAAGGTCATCAGTATGGAATCGAAGTCTGAGTAACATCTGAGATATAAATCATAAATTACTAATATATATTATTAAAAATTCCCCAAAATAAAAACATACTCTTAATATTAATTGGTCATCTGAAGACGGTTAAATCCCTGCTAAGTTCGATTATTTTGGACCATCCTCGGTGTTAACACCGCCTGGTCCTTCCTGCATTATGGGTTCCAGTAGCTCAATATATTCTTCAAGTTCTTGAATATAAACGTTGAGTAAATCGATCAATATCTGTGTCTGATGCAGCAAATGAAGAAGGGCCCCAATGAGTAGCATCAAGCGATGGTTTTCGATTAAAAGATCCTCGTCTTCGGGTTCAAATGGTGGCCTGGTTGGTCCGAAACCCATTGTTGTTGCAACAATTTGTAACGCAAAAAAAACAACCAACAAGAAAAAGTACAAATTTAACAATGAACTTTAAAGGTTTTGGAAATTTTCTTTTTTTTTAATAATTTTTGCTTTCCGTTGAAGTCGATGCGGAGTGAACGTTCGGAATGAATCTAAAACAATGCTGAACTAACGATGTTGATTTCACCGCCTACCAAAGATCCCAAAAATCCAAAACCAAGGCTCACTTGATTTGATTGTATTTGAAAAAACATTTCTAATACCTTTAAAATATTATTTTCCTCCACTAAACTCTCTTAATTTATTCCTGTAATATTTTCAGGTACATTTTTGTATATTCACCATTAAAATTGCACAAACCTCTGAATTTTAAGCCATCATTTGATAACAAAAATTGTTCAATATTTAACTGGCAATTGGCATTTCTTTTTCCCCTTCATTTAAAATTTGATCAAATTTGAAATGGAATTCTTTTTTTTTGTTGAAATGAAAAACTTTGCTACATTTGCATCTATCGATTTGAGTTTCATTGGCCATGCAAATGAAGATGCCTCGGGAAATGGCCAGCAAGTTGGTCTAAGTAACCTCGATTAATGTGCAAACTTTTTGGCCACTTGCATCCGTTTCTGGTAATTTCTGGTGCTGCAATTTATTTATTTATTCTGTTGCTCATTATCTGAGCTAGGAGCTAAGTAGGTGGTAGGTGGTGCCAGTGGTGCCACCGCCTGTAATTAATGTGGAATTTACGGTGACAGATCTGTGGCATTGATAAGACAGCAGGCGAATGCACAGGAAACTTGTCGGAAAACGTGACTGCAGGTACTACACTTTGGAATATATGTGTACATATATATACTACATACTATACTATATACTATATAGTAGTAGGTCCTAAATTTCATACCTAGTTTTTTAGAAATTAAATTTACAACTATCGAACCTTATTTCCTAAATTAAATTGTATGTATCGCACAAAAAGCAAATCTTATTTCTTTATATTTGTAGTACAATTTAATTTAGAAACTAAATAAGTAGGAAATAATTTATAATATATATTATTTTAAAACTCAAAAACTCTTTCACCCTTTGAAAGCTACATTTACCATGAATTAAATAAGCTATATTTATTATAAGAAAAAGTTGGGGATCTTGATTATATCTTAATTAACGTAGTTTAAGAAGTATTTAACAAAAGTTTTAAGCCAAGTCAATAATTTTAAAAGGAGAAAAACTTTGTATTCCAAATTGTTAGTAAAAATACGACGTCTTGGAAAATCATCTTCTGAAAATTCAGATTGTCTGGCAAATCAAAGACATATATATTAAGTGTCACAATTGCCAGAGAATTCAATGCTGATTGTAAGTATAATATAATAATGCTTAAAATAAACATTTATCAACTTTTCTTTTACAAATTTAGATGATCTGGCATATCAGAGAGCGTTAAGGAGTAAAAGAATTTTAGATAAGGTAAATTTAAATCGTAATTACTATAAAAAAAAGTAGATATTTGTTATTTTGTAGGTTAATTTGTTTCTTTCCCGTGCGGAATCCGGATGGCCCGCTGCTATTGCATATATGTATATTTATTTATATATTTAACTTCCAGCTCGCTTTGGCTTTTCAAACTTTGTATACTATATAAATTTTATAGTATTTAATAAACCAATTTTTAAAGAAGTTCTTTTTCGGGAAGCAACTTTGTTTAGGGATAAATCTTGCCAAAGTAAAATGTCTTTTGCCAAGTTGAGAGGAAAGATCAATGTTATTCGAATATTATATAAATTTGTAAAAATGCGTACCTTTAGAGCAAGGACCTTATAATAATCAAGATAAGTAACGCACATACAATGCCTTATGCAGGGAATTTCTTTAAAGGAGTAAAATTTGCACCTCTCTCGCTCCTTTGGAATTTAATAGCTCATCAGGAGAGAGTTCTACAGTTTCATGTCTTAGAATTACATGGCGTTACTCATATTTTCTTTCAAGCAACCTTAACCCTTTGATCAAAACCTCCCCCTCTAAGATTCTATTGGATTTTCCCTCAGTGTACTGGTTGTTGTTATTATTGGCCCCCGCCGCTGATGTTGATGTTGATGTTGCTCTACTTGTTGTTTGCCCAACTTGCCAGTGTTGCAAGTTATGCAAGCTCGTGTCAGGTTGATGGGGAAATTTGCATATCGCATATCGTTGACACGGTTGACACTGACCCCAAAGGGATGGGCACCATTGCATATACCTGTGTTACCTGTGCCTGTGCCACCTGAGGGTCTGAGATGGGGCGAATTATTCAATTTTTGCCGACTAGATCAAAGCAGGCGGGCGGGTAAATATTAATTTGGTAGAAAGGAGAGCGAGAGTCGTGGGGGAAGGACACTCGTCGCAGGACTCACCTTGCATCCGGGTAAGGAGCAGGAGCAGTGTGCAGCACAGGGCCTGCAGCAGCTCCATATTTCATCAGCTCTGAGTTATGCCAACGCGACTCCGTCTCCGTCTCCGTCTCTGACTCTGACTCCGAGTCCGACTCCGGATCCGGTGAAACTTTGCCCGTAACTTACTGCCACTGTCAGGGGTGAGGGGAGGGGAAAATGCCACCGAGCGCTACCGGCTCGCCTGCTTAACGTCCGTTTTTCCGCGTTTTCCGCGCCTCTGACCGGCTGCTCTTCAGGCTTTTCCACTCTCG